GTCATTCCCGGCGTACATGTCATACATCGGCGGACTCTTTGGCCTCTGGTTTGGCACTAATGGCCAGCAATTGATTGTCGCCGTAATTGACAGCCGATTATGGCTTTGGTTGAGGCGATCACTTGTCCACCGCTTTTCCCGTAATAACAGAATTCAAACCATAAATATTAATACTATTTCATAAGTCAATTCAATTAATGTTTATTCTATTTTCCTTTAATGCTTAATGTAAAAGACTATCAACAATTATTTATATAAATATAATAAAAGCACAAATAAAATAACAAAATATACGAGTTTTATTTTAAAGATTTTGGTTCATTTTAAAATATTTCCTATTTTGTCATATTATTTAGAAAAATAGAGTCTATTTTAATAAAAAATAATCACGAAAAAAAATTTTGCTTAAAAATGACTTTATTTAAAAGAACATATATTTACAGAAGAAAATCTGAAATTTAACATAATTATTCAATATAATTAATTTCTAAATGATTTAAATTCATAATTATGATTTAAAATTGATTAAAAGCATATTTCCCAAATTTGGCTTTGTTTTTATTACATTTTATTGTTTTTATTCTCGAAAATGTTACGCTTTAGCGATAAATACTGTCAAAACTAATAATACGAAATATTTATTTACATTTCATTTATTATATTTATTTATAATTCTATCAAATTTTACAGCAGATGTGTTGAGTATTTTATATGATTTATTAGCCGTTGTGTTAACAGTGGATGTCGTGAATATGATTATGAGAAACGGAAACACCAGTATTAATACCATATAACCAACAATTAGTTTCATTATTAATGATAATTCAATAAAGATAATAGTGTACATGCCAAAAGTCACATTTAAACTCAAAATCCACCATGATGACAATATATATTTACATACATTTTCATTATTGTAATTCTCTATATCAATAAATACAAAGGAAAGCCGACAGGAAATGAATTTGAATCGAGTTTTTTATTCAAACTTATATTTATTTTATATAAATGTTTAACTAGTGTTAGCCCGATATAAAATTGGTCATAAAAAACGTCAATTATAGCCAAACTAAAACCACTCTTAACTCGAAACGATAACGATTTTAGATGTGGTTTGATTGGGAAAAATCACTTTCACACCAAAGTCTATCATTCGAAAGGGTGTCATAAAAACGTAATTTGTTTTCACCCATATCTCAGTATCCATATGTGCTATCGCGCCGCTGACCACACGAATCGATTCTGTGAACAAATATCCATCTATTGGTGAAGAAAGCATTAAAATTGGACAAAGTTTTTGCGCGCAAAATGATACTCAAAACTAAAGTTTTTACAACTGTTTGAAAATTTGGACTAAATTTTTGTTTTGAAAAAGTGTTATATGCATATTTGTTCGCACGGTCGAGAAATGTTCAACCCTAAAATATAATTTACATGGTGCGGACATAGTCTAATTTTTTGGTAAAAATTAATTAAAACTAGTGCCCTTCGGGCACGAACAAGAAATAACGGTTTTTGGCACATGATTTTACAGGAAATGATTGACTATGGATTTAAAAATGTTGTTTATTATTTAGTAGATAGTTGTGTTGAGTCTCATGAGTGGTGTTGTTTGTGGTTACTGTATATTACATTATTCACAATTACTAGACTTGTATGAACATATCCCAGTATACAAAATGTGAATATGGTCAGCCGAGTTTACGACAACAAAACTCAACTCAACCCAGTCTCTGTCCAGCAGTCTCTGGCTCGCGGTGTCATGCGGTGGCTCGTGATCTTTATCCCGTGGTTTCTCTCTCACGGTGTTTCAAAGTCTGTATCGTGGGTGTTTTATCATGCGGTGTCCCACGGTATAGGTATTTTGGTAATTGTCGCGCACTCGTTGTCCCGAAATCGTAGCACGGTCGTTGTCGCGCAGTCGTTGTCCCGCAGTCGTCGCGCGGTCGTTGTCCGGAAGTCGTCGCGCGGTCGTTGTCCCGCGGTCGTTGTCCCGAAGTCGTCGCGTAGACGTTGTCCCGCGGTTGTTGTCCGGAAGTCGTCGCGCGGTCGTTGTCCCGAAGTCGTCGCGTAGACGTTGTCCCGCGGTTGTTGTCCGGAAGTTGTCGCGCGGTCGTTGTCCCGAAGTCGTCGCGTAGACGTTGTACCGTGGTCGTTGCCCGGAAGTCGTCGCGTAGACGTTGTCCCGCGGTCGTTGTCCCGAAGTCGTCGCGCCATCGTTGTCTCGCAGTCGTCGCGCGATCGTTGTCACGCAGTCGTCGCGCGGTCGTTGTCCCGCGGCCTCTGTCTGGCCAGCGGTTTTTCGCGGTCACTCTCTTGCGGTCACGTTCACGCGGTCTTTGTCTTATGGTCTGGCGTGTTCTGTTTAGCAGTCTCTCTCCCGCGTTCTCTGGTGTGCGGTGACTCGCAGTTTTGTAGGCTGGCTCGCGGTCGCCGTTTTTTACCATCTATACTTGCAGTCGTTGATTTGCCGCATCGCTCGCCTTCTATCGCAATCTATTTGTATGGCATTTTTGATGGACGACAGTGAAAATCAATGTGTTTATATAATAAATTAATTAATCCATTTCTTAGCGCTAAAAACGAGCATTAAAAATTATATATAATTCGGGTAAACTTCGACCAATCATTTAACAAGATCCCCGTCGGCCGTCAACAAAATTATCATGGTGACGGCCGAATTTGTCCAGCAGAGACGGTGAATCTCACAAACTCGACTTGCGTTCAATGTAATCACACTTTTCGCGGCGGAGACAAATTAGTTCTTTTTTAATTTTCTCAAATACGGCGGTCAACAATTGGTGGTGCGATTTATCGTCGGGCAAATAGATGAGGCAGTAGATTAAGATCTGGACGCTTTTTTAGTAAAACAACGTTTCGATATTCCTGTTGCACAACGGGTGTAGCGTTGCGGAGACCTAATCGGGATCACAGTCCATTCGCATTTACCGTAAGATGTAACGATGTTCGTTGTAGACATCGAATTCTCGTGGATGCCGACGTGCCAGTAACCCCACGCGATGTCAAGAGTTGTTAACACGATAGGACCGGTGAATGTGTCCATAAGGTAGCGTATTATCGATAATTGTATTGGCGTTGAGGCGTGTACATTCGATTACTGGCCAAAAGTTTTGTCGTTCCTTTGCACAAAAGATATCAGCGTTGCGTATTCTTATATCGATGGACGGGTGAACCCGAGACCGAGGCGTCCCTCCGTATGTTTTTGAGTTTTCGTTTGATTAAACACCGATTGGAGCAAAGATTTAACGGAACGGTGTACCTCGTGCTGAATGTTCCGAATTACGGTCACAAATCAACCAATGACAAAAATTGTGCGCCGAGTAATCATGCGGCGGATTCGACAAACAGCCGGTGATTGGCGTATAGTTTGAGGTGAGCGGACATATTCAACTATTGGGCGCCCGCCTCGAGTCGCCGTCTTACGTGCGGGTCTCCCGAGTCGTACAAATCGATGAGTGGGTATTGCTTTGAGGCAATGTGTCGCCTCCCGGAGCTGTCCTTTGTAATAATAATAATAATGTTTATTGATTTCAAAAACGTGTCTTACATAATACATGAGTATTCATAACAACAAATTGATTTGTTTAACAAATTCATTGTAATTCATTAAAGATCTTATCTGTATTGGTATTATTATACAATTGTGAAGCATATATGAAAAAACTTTTATCACAAATAGTTTCATGTAAAATTACTTAATAGAGTATACCATGTCTTCTGGTTTCGTAGAACTCAATTTCATCTAACCACTTATATTGATATTCATATAATTTAAGTCTCATTTTTATTACAATTTTAAGAATTTAAATTTTCAAATGAAAATATATTTAAAAATATATTTCTCTCTTCGTATGAGAGGTTATTTTTATGCATTTTATAACAAATAAACCTGGTGATTTACGGAAATACAACCACTTGTTATGCGGACAACGATTTATCAACAATTAAGTTATCAATTGGCGATAATATTGTGACAAATTCTGTGAACCAATGTTTCGTACATTTTAAAGGGTTCGATGAATTCAATGGCCGGACAAAAAGGTTGTGTCAAAATCATTGTCCGCCCGACTGTTGGGAAACAATATATCGTTTGACATTCAATGAGTTAATTAAAAAAGATAGAAATACTGTTGGTACATTGAAAGATCCACAAACCACATTTATATTTGCTAACACTTATTATTTGCGCATCATTTACACGGCAAGCATTGTATTCATTGATCTAATCATTAGTGTAGTAAATGTGTTGAGTCTATGGCACGGACTCACAATCGTTGCTATTATAACAGGTTTTATCAATTATTTGGGAAACAAATTACTAATGCTTTCGATCGTACGATACGTTCGCCGACGTCTTCGCCGAGAGACCACTCGATTCCGTCGGACTTTGGTTTTCATGCGTTTCTATATTCGTGTAATTAATAGAAAATTGATTAAAAGTTTTAATTATTAAAAATTATATCTAATTGTTTTTTATATATAGAGAATATTCCTATGCCTAATGGCGGCAATACTCGGCTATCAATTATTTAACATTTCTGTCGAGTATTTTGCGTACAAAACGGTTACCGTATTTGAAGTGATGGACAACTCGCAGGACTCTCACATCCCGGTCATAACGTTTGTATATAATGGTCATGGCGTAATCTATAACCCACAATATCCGAAATGCCGGAATAAACATTGTAAAACTTATATTGACGCCCAACCCTTGTTCAGCGACCGTCCGATTACTGCGACCGTCCAAACAAACATATCCTATGGCGACGACACGGCTACTGACCAGCACTGGTCGGGCGTTGATATCTCTACGTTAGAGCGATTTGTAATGCTATCACATATAAAACACGGCAGTCTATACATATCGCACAGTGTAATTACCGATCGGCACAATATGACCGGCGGTACGCCGGGTGTCAATAGTCGGTCCCAATCGGTAATGGATAAGCCGTTTGCCGTTATTCATCAGTCGATATATGCGCTCAATAATGAACTGAAGTTTGTATTGTTTCACTTCCATTCGGTGGTGGACTTCGAGCATTTGTTTAACACAGAGACTGAACTGTCGGGCGCTAACCTAACATTTATTGTCACAAAAACAATGCGCCGACAGTTACCCGCGCCGTACAGCCGGTGCAGTCACTACGGCTCAGACCCGGCGACCGGTGCCGAGGGGTCGGGCAGTGGACAACCGTTTTGGGCGATATCTCACTGGCATTGTATGCGGAGGTGTCGACTCGATTACGCCCGCAAAGTGCATAATACCGGTTGCCGTATATATCGTGTCGACGATATATTACACGAATTAGATTTTGACCATCACGTGGGCGAAGGAGAGTGTCGTGTGGACAAGACTATGCCCGCCAGTAACGGACTTATTCCTTATGTGTTAATGCCTTTAAATAGTGTGAGTATAGCAACAATTATTGTAGTTTGTCTGTAGTAAGTAAATGTTTGCTTCGCACCCAAACCAATGCACACTCATTTAAATCAATGTTTTCAAATATACATCGTGTGTATATCGTGTGAACAATTAATGTAGCTACCTGATGTTACTGATATTGATTATTAAATTAAAATATTAATTTTTAAATTTAAAAACAATTCTTCATGTAATGCACAACGCTAAATAAAATTGAAATTTAAACCTTTTTACCGTTATGTAAGCTATTTGTGTAAAACTAATAATTTTAAAAAGATAATTTAATAGGTTAAAGCAACATTTTGCAAATTTTTATATTGTGGAGAGAGGGGAAGGGGTAGAATAATGTAATATTTTTCGGCAAACCATGATAATAGTTAAAACTTTTAAGTGAAATTTTTAAAATACTATTTTATTAATTATAATAGATTAATTACTAATCAATTATAATGGATCACCATGAACAAATGACAATTAGAAGACGTTTCTATCACTTGATTTCTGTTAATTCTATGTCTTTTTAATTATTTAGTCTGAAGTTTCGATCCATTGTCTGTCGTATTGTCCGCCCGATTGTCTGGCAATCGATTATCGCTCGCGTGTTGTCAACGATAACAAGGATTACATTCAAAAGGTCTGGTATAGAGTCGACAGACCGGAGGACTGGTATTCAGAGAAACGTTTGGTTTGGGACTCAACTCAACCGATGTATGTCTATAAAGATGAGCCCATTATGTCATTCCCGGCGTACATGTCATACATCGGCGGACTCTTTGGCCTCTGGTTTGGCACTAATGGCCAGCAATTGATTGTCGCCGTAATTGACAGCCGATTATGGCTTTGGTTGAGGC